AGAGAGAGAGAGAGAGAGAGAGAGAGAGAGAGAGAGAGAGAGAGAGAGAGAAGGCAAGCAAAGAAAAGAAAGACAGCTCCCAGAACAGTAACTGTATGCTTCCCATTGATGACAGCTGGAGAATATGGACAAAAATTTCCTAGAAAGAGATAAAAACTTTAGGTTCTATTAATTTCAACCAAAACAACTAATATGATGATAGTACCCGTGAGTGGGACATTAGTACTTTTGGATCTGTAAGGTTTTTTCTAAGATGGAACTGAGCTAACCAAATCTAGAGTTTGTTCTAAAAGCCCAGAAAACAGTAGTCATAGATCACCTAGGAAGCTAATTTTTTTTAACAGATTTGGAAATAGGTTTCTTTTCTTTTCTTTTTTTAAAGCAACTATTCAGTTGCCTACCTTACACCAGGGATAGTAAGAGTCCCATTTACAACAAGTTTGAGGATAGGTGAAGCTTTGGTCACACAAGCACTAAATTCTAGGGAAACCTGTCTGAAACATGGACTGTAGCAAAGCAAATGTTTCTTGGTGATTCAAGGCCATTATCAATATCAAACAAATATACTATGGTGTCATCAGATAACTACAAAGATGTTTTTGTGCCAGATCAGATGATTCTAGAGCATGAGATTTGGTTTAAAAATCAAAAACAAACAAATTTTATCTCACTGTAGTAATTCACAGCTGATATATTTACTGCCAGTCTTATGTGTCAGTGCACTGGTTCAATACCACAATTTCTTATGGATTGAATATTCCTATAAATTATTGCCATAAAACATACAAATAGGTAGCTAGCAATGTGTTTTAATAAATCTTACTTGAAATGGACATTTTCTAATCAAAAGGAAAATTAAAAATTTAAAAACTGGCTTGCTTTGCTTTAGGACATATAAGTAAGATAGACAAGTAATGTTTTAGATAGAAAACATGTACTTTAATCTATTTACAAATTTCCGAATCCTTGGTGTTTTTTGTAAGCATATGGTTTGGAAATAAAGGGTACTCCGCCATGTTAAAGATTGACTTACTACTCCCACTTCATTTACCATAATAAATTCTTATATAAACTTTTATTTTCTTTATCACACTTCACTATCATGCTAGTTATATACTATGATTTTTTAAAAAAATATTTATTTTCCTGTTCTTTATTTGTTTCCCAACTGGAAAACTTACTTCATGAAAATATGGATGACTCTAACCTATTTGTTGCTCTTTCCATACATACAAAGTCCTGACACAGAAGCCTTTGTCAGTAAATGCCACAGAGTAGACAATAGGTCTAATAAATACATTAATGAGAGGATAAAAGAGCATGACAATTTAAGAGAGATCAACTACCAATGACGAAACTAATAAATACAACAAATAGGTATAATTTCATGGACTTTTATATCACCTAGTTTCTTCCTACATATTCCTCACAAAATTCAACATCAACATACCACACGCTGATAAACCACAAACACCTACTTATAAGGTTTTTCTTGAAATTCTTCCAACAAATAGTTTAGTAAATATCTGTAGGCAACAGGTAATTCTATGAGAGAAACACACACTGGGAAAGAAAATCAGGAGTGCAATCCAGGCTGCATGGTTAAGGTATTCTTTCTACTCACATCCACACACAGGAACACTGCTGTTCATTAGATCTAAGACACAGTGACCAGTAAAGCTGCCTTTGTAGTCTTCCTATGTGTCTCCCCTCCTGCCTGGCCCCTGACTTCTCCTCCATTTCTGTTCAGAAAGGAGCAAGCCTCACATGAGTATCAACAAAGCATGGCATATCAAATTGCGGTAAGACTTACTAAGCACCTCTCCTTGTAATCAGGCTGGGCAAGGCAATCCAGTATGAGGAATAGGTTCCTAAGAGGCAGCCAAAGCATTAGAGACAGCCCTGCTCTTATTATTAGGAGTTGCAGTAAACCCAGCTAAACAACTGACACATATTTGTAGAGAACCTAGGTTGGTCTAACTCATACAGGCTCCCTGGTTGTTGGCTCAGACTCTGTGAATTCCTGAGTCAGGTCACTTGTTTCTGTGGGTTTTCTTGTGATGCCCTTGACCCCTCTGCACCCTACAATCGTTCTTCTGTCTCTTCAGCAGGATTCCCCAAGCTCAACCTAATGTTTGTCTGTGGATCTCTGCATCTGTTCCCATCAGTTACTGGATGAAGGCTCTCTGGTGACAACTGGGGTAGTCAACAATCTGATCATAGGAGATGGCCAGTAGGCTAAGTATCCACTATTGCTAGGAGTCATCCTTGTTTCAGCCTTTACCAGCAACTGGGGGAAACAGTAGAGAAGAGTGCTGGCAGATCTTTATCCTCAGAGGAGCTAAAATTCTTAGGGCATATTTCTAAAATGCATTCCATGTATACTAAACATCTTAAAGGAATGAGATCTTTCCTTAATGACTCACTGCTGTCAACCATCAGTCTCATTATTACAGTAGTTTCACAGTGAGTAGAAAAAAACAGGAAATATGTCAGAGTTTTAGTGCATGATGGCAAAAGAGCCATTCGTCATACTGCTTCCATGGAAAGCTTCCTGGGTAGCAAAGATCTCACACACACACACACACACACACACACACACACACACTCATATACATATATATGTACAAATATGGTATGTTGTGAAAAGCATCATAAGATGCTCAAGTAGATTTCTAGCTACTAAAGACTGGTTGATTTATTCATTTTTTTAAAGCTTGAGGACAATTTTTTTAGACTTAAAAAAAAATCTAGAACATGCAAGCTGTAAATGTCAGCAGCTGCATGGAAGAAGATAGAGATGCAAAGGGGGGAGAATGAATGAAAAAGAAAACACCTTAGGCTGTCTGAGTTAAGCAAGCATGAAAATCGGCCACAAGACAGACTCCAGTCTCACGGCGAGGAGGGAAATTACACACAAAATGAGTACAAAAAATTAGGAAAGCAATAGAAAGAAAAAGAAGAAAAGTCATGCTTTTCCAAGTATTTCAGAGAAGCAGGCAACTTATGAAGTGCACGTCTATGGCCTATAAGAGACTTAAAATTTACTGTTAAAAACAAAACCCACTGGGACTGGAAAAACAGATCCGTGGTTATGAGCTCTGACTACTCTTCCACGGGACCTGGGTTATATTCCCAACACTCATGCAGTGGCTTAAAACCATCTGTGACTCCAACCTTAGTGAATCTGATACCCTTTTCTGGCCTCTATGGCAACAGGCATACACACAATGCACAGACATACATGCGGGCAAAACACCCATACACATAAAATAAATATTTTAAAAGTGTTGGCAAAACTTTGGAAAATTTTTATAGAACAAGTAACAAGTAGGAGAAATAAGCAGTGATTTTGTACAAGAGCTTTTCTTTTTAATATTATTTCTTAATATTTCAGCATATTTTATATGCTGACATGTAGACTTTATGAATGTTACCTTGCCTATTCAGTCTGATGTGGTTTACCTAATTTTCCTCATTCTCATTTCCTCTGATCTATTACCTATTATCTCATGTATTAACTCCATAGTATTTAATTTGTCTCTTGTTCATCTTCCTACTTAAGTACATATAATATGGAGTCAGAAAATTAGCTCATCTTGATCAGCATTATAATTCCAGTGCAGGTGAAAATAAAGCACATAATTTTTGCTCAATAATTGATTAAGTGGACATTTGTTTTATATATGCATATTACCAAATAAATATGAATAAGTGATTGCATATTGATGGCAGAACATAAAAGAAAAACACAAGGAAGCAAGAAGGGGAGGAAAGAGAAGAGAAACTTGTCAAAGTCTTTCTTGTCCTAGTAGCAAATTACACAGGAAATATCACACATCAACACAAAATTCAGAATGATGGAAGCTAATCAAAGAGTTTCCAAAGCAAGGAGAAAACAAAAACAAAATTTTATTAAAGTAATCAACTTCTGTCAGTAAGTCAGACTAGCATATAGAAGAAATACTGAAAAGGAGGATTATGGGTTAAAATACAAGAAGTTAGGGAGAGCAACTACATTAAAGTATTGCTGTATATACTCACGTTCACACACAGGAACACTGCTATTCCAAATACTGTCCCTTCCGGCCAGAATGCAGTAACTAGCAGAATTGCCTTTTAATTTAAACCTAAGGAAGAAAATGGTAGTGTATTGTAAAATGATTTGGCCAGAGTAATACTCATTTTCCAGGTCTAGTCAAAAAGCATCTGAGGATTTTAAGGAAATGGAACCAGGAGGTGGAAAGGGTGTGTAGATGCTAAGTCACTTAACTACCACAGCTTCCAACAGGTGTGTAAAACAGAATTGCAAGGCAAAGAGACTTGTCTTATAAAGAAGTCCTAGCGTAAACTAAAGAAAGTAGTCAGGGCACAGCCAGACCCTGGACCCTTACTCAGCACTGATCATGCTCAAAGGAATCCAGTACTGTTCACTGTCACAACTGCAAACACAGACTGCTAACGCAACTCCTTGCCAACTCGGGCACTGGGAAAGCTGAGTTAACTGGTAGGAAATAGAGACTGTTCTTATGTCTGTTTCTGCTATTATTGTCTAGGAAGCTCACTACAGCATGTTGGCCCACTGAAGAATAAGTGACACTTATTTTCTCAGTAATTCAGAGAACCAGGCGTCTTTTAAGTACAGGTCTTCTTTTGTTTGTTTTTGTTTCTGTTTCTTGGTCTTTCCTTTTAAAGCACTGGGACTGGAGAGAAAAATGGAAAGAGGAAAGGAGCCAACTTTTGTATAAAGCCATCCAAAATTCTCAAAGGATGTTTAAACTCTTATGTCCTTCTAAGTCTTATTTAGTCCTGGTACTTGGTGTTGCCAAGGATTCTGTGAAGCGCTGGAGAGCAAGTTCTTTGTTGTTGAGGATCAGCAGTTTGACAGAGGCATGTCTGCTGTGAAGAATGTTTATGACCTCACCTAAAATAATAACATTGGATGCTATGCTCCCATATCAGAGTCCACAGCCTGTTGCTGGTCTAATGACACATGACTGGGCTTTAAAACACTGCACCTTATTTTTTGTTTCTCTTATAAATTCTATTAATAAAGCATTATTTTTTTCCTAAAACATTGCTAAATACATTGTTATTTGTATATGCTTTTGTAACATATAATTTCCCTCAAAATTACTAGCATTATTTTCTATGTAGGAAATGAGTTTTTTCACTTAGTGCATTACCTATATATTTAAAACCAGTAGATACACTTGTTTTTGAATCTGTCATTTAATAAACGTCCCAGTTTTTCCTTCATATCTCCTTTTATGAATTCCACAAGTCACCAGTTTTTCCTATAAACAATATCAGAAGTTGTCTTCCCCACACCAACCTTCCCATACTTCGGAAACCTCAGACAGATTGGGCCTGCTTACACTTACCCTTTATTACAAACGAAGGACACTTTAGCCCCAGTTTGAAGATTTAGTGGAAATAGTACATTCCCATTAGGAAGCTGGTCCAGGAAAGGACCACAGGATTTCACTGGAGAAAAAGAGTCAAACAGAAATAATAGCAGTGTGTGGAAAATAAAAACACAAGCCATGAATATCAAAGCAGATGACAGTCCAGAGACCTGCACATGTGGAGCCACAGGACTCTAACGTATAGCCTGTTCATAGTGCTATAGCAGACACTGTGACTATATCTGATAAAGCGTGTTTATTGTTTTTTCTCTAAGATGTACACTAAGGTTAAAACATTCCCAATTTCTTTTCTGTTTTGTTTTTCAAGACAGGGTTTCTTTGTGTAGCTTTGGCTGTTGAACTAGCTATGTTGGCCAGGCTAGCCTTGAACTTTAGAATATTGGTCTAGAAAAATGACTTTCTTAAGGATTTCCAAATATTTTTTATGTTATAATAATTGCTTTGAGGGCTCGTCTTTCAAGAGTTTCCCTTGACTAATACATGAGCTGTGATAGTTAAAGAATAGGCTGGTTAAATTTCTATTGATTTTTAGTTTCATACTATATATTGCCTTTTGATTGTTATAGGTAAAAACATGAACACTACAATTTCTTTGCTCTAGGACAGTGGTTTTCAACCATCCTAAAGCTGTGATCCTTGAATACCAGTTCCTCATGTTCTGGTGACCTCCACCCAGAAAATTTCTTTTTGTTGCTACTTCATAACTGTAATTTTGTTACTTTTACTGAATCAAAATGTAAATATTTTTGGAGATAAGGTTTGCCAAATGGGTCCTAACACATAGACAGAAAACCACTGCTTTAGGGGCTCTAATTAAGTTCTGCCACCTGGAGGACATATATATCAAACTAAAGGACAAGAGATGTGATAGACACCTTTATGCATCCAGGGACAGCATCAGTGGAGGAAGCCTTGATGATCTTTCAAGTGAGCAGCAGTCAGCAACACTAACGACAGCAAGGATTGGCTCTATCTTGGAAGTAGCAGCAGGGTCTGGCTGTGTCAGCCATGACAGAGGTTGACAGTGTCAACCAGGGTAGGGCCAGCTGTGTCAGCTCTATTCCTGTAGTAACAGTAGTTCCCTGATCTTTGGCAACATTGTTTTCCTTTTATTCTTCCTGTCCTTCTAATATCTTTATAACCCATTATCACCTACAGGAAAGTCTTCATTCCTTGGGAGGATCTGCCAGATGGAAAGACTTGGATTTTAATTTTTGCTCTGCAAGTTAGTATCTATATTGTCTTGAAAAATTATCTAAACCCTCAGCCTCAATATGGAAGAAATAATAACTACCCCATTGCTTCATTTTAGGAATTAAATATGCATGCATTTAATATGACTAGCGATGAATCACTCAATTATATATTGATAAATATTATGCATATGAATAACTTTTGAGGGCTGGAGATGGCAATACATGAAAAGAACTTCAGTGTATGAGAATTCCCAGGATGGATCACATTCCTTGTTCATATTTAGCTCCTTCTCAGTTTGAATGGATGTGTTGTGAGGGTGCACAAACACTCACAACACATGACCCTTCTTGATTTTACATTCCCTCCCAAGAAAATTTATTCATCCAACCTGTTTACCATACGCCCTCTTCTAGAATCAACCCTTATCTGGTCCTCCAACACCCCATGGCATTGCAGGCTTCCCAAGCACTGATTAGACTCACCCTTGAAGCAGGTTGGTAACTCTGGCTCCCATTTGTTTAGGTCTTGACACTGTACACTGCTGATTCCTTCCATGATAAAGCCAGGCTGACATCTAAACTCCACAGTATCTCTTAAGGAAAACAAGCTTTTGCTTTCAGACACCATGACTGCATTTTTAACATGAGGAGGTGTACATTTGCCTAATTCAATGCACTGAGGAGGAGGGCCACTCCAGACTCCAACTTCACCATCATTGCTGGTACAGTGTAAGGATGGCTCACCCACCAGATTAAAGAGCTTTTTCCCTCTATCACCAGTTTGACAGCGATAGGTGACCACCATTCCATAATAAAAATCTTCTGTAGGAGCAAGGAACTCTCCATTGGTAATGACTGGGGGTGCTTCACAAGGAATTCCTGGCCAAAAAAAAAACCAGATTAAATTTTATATAAATAGGGGAAATTCAATGAATCACTGAATTGAAGATACTTCTACTCATTATAAATGACTGTAAATGTTCATTAAAAGCATTTAATATTTCTTGACTAGTAGATGTGTTTTAAAATGTTGTTATTTAGGTGCACATAGCAACGTGTGCACCTACTTTTTCCTATAAACTTTTTCTACTTTTTTCTTATAAACACATGAAGTTACAAATACAATTTACCTCTTCATTTGAAATAGCTCTTTGATCATATTACAGAGTTCATATCAACTTTCAGATTTTTCTTCTTGTCTATTAATTTGTAAATCTATTGTTAACTGAAAGGAAAATTTGAAAAAATAATATTAACAACAAAGTTTTTAGAGTATAAGATGGAAAAAATGTCATCATAATACACAAAGATTTCTTGAACAGAAAAATCAGTAACTAGAAGGAGAAAGTTAGAAAGTTAACAATATTAAAATGAAGAAATTCTATTTTCAAAATGAAAAAAAGACAGGCCATAGACTAAAAGAAAACATACTTGTTTTATTTATTGGAAAATATGAAATTATGTACAAGAATTTCTATAAGTAAATAAACCAGTAAATAATGTGGTGCAGGAAAATTGTCTATAATCTATCAATCATATTTTAAATAAATGCTGATTGGCCAGGCAGGAAGTATAGGTGGGAAAACCAGACAGAAAGTAGAGGTGATGCAATGAGAACAGGAAAATTCTGGGAAGCAGGAAGCTCCCTCCACCATTCCTGCCCAGACCACTGAAGAAGCAACATGTGAGCTGACAGCTGAAAAGGTACCAAGCCAAATGGCTAACATTGGTGTGGGAGAATTGTCTGTATTCTGTCAATCATGTTTTAAATAAACACTAATTGGCCTGGCAGGAGGTATAGGCGGGAAAAACAGACAGGAAGTGGAAATGATGCAAGAAGAGCAGGAGAATTCTGGGGAGGAGGTAGTTGATTCCTCCCACTCCTGTCCAGACCACCAAAGCAGCAGGATGTGAGCTGCCCCACTGAAAAAGGTACTGAGTCACATGGCTAACATAGATCAGAAAAATGGTCTGATGTGAGATGTTAGCCAGTAAGAAGCCTGACCTAATGGGCCAATCAGCATTATAACTTACAGAAATCTCTGTGTGGTTGATTTTCTCTGGGGCCTGCAGGCTGGGGGAACCAAGCGGGACAGAAAACACAAACAAGCAGGGTCCCCTCATGGTACATAACATAGATAATAATAATAATGGATCAATATAAGTTACAAGGGCTGATAAGAAGCCTGACCTAATGGGCCAATCAGTTTATAATCTTATGGAGTCCTGTATGTGATTTCTTTGGGGCTTGCCGGCTGTGGGGTACTGGGCGGGACAGATACCCCAACAAGCAGGCCCCTTCATGTTACAATAATGCACACAAGGTTTGAACAGTCACTCCACAAACATGAAGAGTTAGTATCAATAAAAATTAAAATCATTTAAGACATTTTGATCATTAGTATTATGCTATGGAAACAGCAGAATGATCTGACTATCAAGATCATCATCATGTAACTATGGACAATGTTATATGACTTATTTGTGAGATGAGATCTCGGTCTGGTGGACGAAAATCTACAGCGAATTATTGTAAAAGAGATTGAATTGGTTTATAGGTCTAGAAAAACTCACATAAACAGGAAATGATCTTCTGCAGGACATAGCCTACTATCAAATATACTAAAGTTTCCTCTAGCTTTCCCCCAGGGACTTAGAGCTATTTAGTGGGCTTAAGTTATAGGAATTTTAGATAATTAAACAGATAAAAGTATAGATACTGCTATAACTAGTTATACTGTGTTTTAATATGAGATTTTACCATACATGCAGTTTGAAATTTGATTCTTTTTTACATAAAATGTATATGTTTAAATGTTCCATATGTTGCTGTAGGATAATACTTTTGTACACTGTAAAAATTTGTTAATTGTATTGCTTTAATAAAATACTGATTGGTCAGTAGCCAGGCAGAAAGTACAGGTAGGGCAACCAGACTAGGAGAATTCTGGGAAAAGGAAAGGCCAGATGAAATCACTACCCAGATGCGGAGGAAACAAGATGAGAATGTTGCATTGATAAAAGGTACCATACCACGTGGCTAAACACAGACAAGAATTATGGGTTAATTTAAGTTGTAAGAGCTAGTTAATAATAAGCCTGGGCTAATAGGCCAAACAGTTTATAATTGTTATAAACCTCTGTGTATTTCTTTGAGACTGAATGGCTGTAGGTCTGGGCAGGACAGAAACTTTACAATATGTGAAAGTGTAGCCTACAGCTTCACTAACCTTGAAAAATATGGACAAAAATTTTATTAATTGGCCAAGCAGGATGATAGTTTTATTAGAGATTGAAAAACAAACATAACTGTAGCATGAGGGCTGGCTTGTTGGGGTATCTGTCCCACCCAGTACCCCACAACCGGCAAGCTCCAATCAAAATCACACACAGGACTCCATAAGATTATAAACTGATTGGCCTGTTAGCTCAGTCTTCTTATTAACTAACTTTACATCTTACGGTAACCCATAATTCTTGTCTGTGTTAGCCATGTGGCTCAGTACCTTTTCCAGCTGTCAGCTCACATGTTGCTTCTTTGGTGGTCTGGGCAGGAATGGCTAAGGGAGCTTCCTCCTCCCTAGCCTTCTCCTATTCTCATTGCCCTGCTTTACTTCCTGTCTGGTTGACCCACCTATACTTCCTGCCTGGCCAATCAACGTTATATTAAAATACATGATTGACAGAATACAGACAATTCTTCCACACCACATAACTTAAAGTTAACTGAGTTAAAAATAAGATTGGAAGACTTTTTACATTTATACATTCTACAGTTAGAAAAGGAACATCCCAGGACCAAGGAGAACTTAAAGAATGTGGTAGTTCAAGAATGTTGTAGTTGTCTTCTGTCTTAGGGTTACTATTGCTGTGATGAAAAAAACATGACCAAAATCAACTTCAGGAGGAAAGAGTTTATTTGGCTTATATCCTAAAACTGGCAGGAATTCAAATCAGGAAGAAACCTGAAGGCACAAGCTGATGCAGAGGCCATGGAAGCTTATGTTCCTCATGGCTTGCTCAGCCAGCTTTTTTATAGAACCCAGGACCACTAGCCCAGGACGGACACCACCCACCATGGACTAGGCTCTCCCACATAGATCACTAATTAAGAAAATGCCTTACAGGCTTATGGAGGCATTTTCTCAACCAAGAATTCCTATTCTCAGTATGACTCTAGCTTATGTCAAGTTGAGACAAAGCTAGCCAGAACATCTTCATTTTCTTGAAGAACAGATTAAATAAGAGGAATTTTAATAACAAATTTTAAAATTCCTTATAGGGTTTTAGGTTTCCATCTTTGATAGAGTACTTCCTAACAGGCATGGGGCCCTGGATTCAATCTTAGATCTGCAAAAGTTGTATAATTCCAGAGAAAATTTAAAGTACATAAGTAAAGATGATAGAAATAAAAATTTCAACTTACTCTCACAAATAGGTGTCTCATTATCCCAAATGAGACCGTTATCTGAGCTTATGCACACAGCAGTGGAGGAACCAATGAGGTGGTATCTATACACAGAATAAAGAATGTTAATTAATTCATAAGTAATTGCCTGCTTAAATTGTTGCTTCCCAGAGATTACTATCTTGAAAGCTTCAGGACATTTTTTCTTTTCTTGTCAAAGACCATGAGTTCTGAAATCTTACATCCTTCTTTGGACTTTTTGATTTTCTTCTTAATGCCTTCCTAACTAAATGAGATTTTTCTTTTTATTATGTTATCATGCAATCTACAATAAATTATAGTTGTTTCCTACAAATCTTATTTTTAAAGATATTACAAGCTTCTTGAGGGCAAAAGAAATGTCATGTGTATGTGTATATTATATGAATATGAATGAATTAACGTATACCTTGAAAGCAGTAATGTGAAAGCCTAGATAAGGATATGTCTTATTAGCAAGATTCATTGATGTAGAACCTAGGAACTCAAATCTGAGCAAAGTTGAACAAAAACAGTAATACTTGATTAAAGTCAGAAATATTCAATTAATATGCTGTAAGTTGTCTAGTATGTCATAAAATTAAAACAAATCATGACACTTATTTCACAGCAACCTAACTCTTATAACTATTACGTTAGATTTATTTAAAAAAACATGTCATTTTGAGAAGTACAACTGTAAAGGTTTGTGCTTTAAATTTCACATGCTGCTTTTCCTCTGTGAAGCTTTTTTTGTTTTGTTTTGTTTTTTCTCTTTCTTTTTTCTTTCCTTTTTGTTTGTTTGTTTGAGACAGGATTTCTCTGTGTTTCTTTTTGACTGTCCTGGAACTCACTCTGTAGTTCAGGCTGGCATTGAACTCAGAGATCTTAATGCTGGGGAAAAGTCATGTGCCACCAGGAACCAGGGGGAAGGAGGATACAATTTTTCATGTAAGCTTGTGTATTTTCTACCACAGAAAGAAAGTAAAGGTGATAGAAAATAGACACAAGGTGATAAAATAGACACAAGATCTCTTGTTCTGTCTAGTTACTGTGACACTCACTTTTCATCTTCCCAGTCCCGATTTTCCTAGCATATTCATATTGCTGGTGACTACTTCTATAATTATATAATTTTTAAAAAGTTATATAAAGAATCATATAGAATGTAACCATATATGATTAGCTTTCTATTCTGCATAATTACTGGAGGTTTATCAAGCAATTATTTATGTTATAAGTTAGAATTCATGGCACGAATATACCACCATTCACTTAACCACTTAACTACTGATGGATATTCAAGTAAGTCCAAAATCAGGGAGATCCATAGAGAGAAGTGAATAGTTTTATAGAGATAGGACAGGGGAAGCTTTCCTTTGAGAATGAAAAAAATGCTTTGAGCTCCTAATCTTACAGAAAAGACTGCCTTTCACCACTGAGAACAATGTTAGTTGTAGGCTTGTTATATGTGGAAAATATATGCAGAATCTCTAATCCTTTTATGACTAACTTTTTAAAGAGCTTTTCTAACAACAGAAAATTTGAATTCTTTCAAATGTCTTTTCTTCTGGTAATGGCTATGTTTTTACACCTCATTCTGTCAGTGTGATATATTACATTTTATTTGTACATTGTCAAGTTTTCATTTCAGGGATAAATCCCACTTAATCATGATGTATGACAGTGGTATGTTGTATGAGTGTACATGGGGTCTGTGTAATAGTGCTGAGGTGATATTTATTTGTATTTTAATAAACAAAGCCTGCCGAAGTTCAGAGAGTAAAACAACCACAATGATCAGCCTTACTAATCAAACAGTCGTGGCACACACCTTTAATCCCAGTAGCCACACTAGTTTGCCACAGAAACCGGGCAATAGTGGTGCATGCCTCACTTACAGTCTCATTCTGAGATTTCTGGAGGCAGAATCGCCATTTTGGACTGAGGTAGAAGTAAGAGCCAGTGACTGATTGTTTTGCTTTTCTGACCTTCAAACTGAACTCCAATTTCTGACTCTGGGTTTTTATTAATTGTGCTACATAGTGTGCTTGTATTTGTGCACAAGGAACTCAGAGCAAGATGCCAGGCATCTTCCTCTATGACTCTTAGACCACTGCCTTGAGAAAAAAAAATCTCTCACTGGGCTGAAAAACTCACTCTTTTTGCTAGGTTGTCTGGCCACCAAGCTCTTAGGATGTGCCTCTCTCTCATTCTCCCAGTGCTGGAATTACAGGCACATGGAGCCATGGCTAGCTTTTTACATGGATATTGAAGCTTTATCTCATTTGCCCCAGTGTAAGCACTTATAAATTCTGTCTCTCTGCTAGTAATTTGTAGAGAATGTTTATAACATGCTTATTAAGGATATTGCTCAGCAATTTCCTTCTGTTGTCGTGTCTGGCTTTGGAATTAGCATAGTACCGGCCTCATAAAATAAATTAGAATTCAGTGGTGAAGCCAATAGGTCCTAAGGCTTCCTTCGTTGGAAGGTTGTGGTAAGTAAATGGAATTTATCTAAGAATTTATCTTTTGCCTCTTCAGCTACATTCAACTATATAGCTTTGCTCTCAAGCATGTACCTGCAATGCTAACTCACAGCCATCACAGTTTCTTCAACTTCTTTCTCACAGTCTGGCTCAGGATTTATCAATGCAAAGATTGTGGTATCTGGTTTTCCAGGTATAGTTTTTCTTTGAAACTCCTCTCTAACTTTTTGTGGTATAACATGCACAGGTGCGTGCTTGCGTGCACACACACACACACACACACACACAATGGTGGTTTAAATAAGAATGTACCCCACAAGCTCATATATTTGAATGCTTGGTCATCAGGAAGCAGCACTATTTGAGAAGGATTAAAAGGATTAGGAGATGTGGTCTTACTGGAGGAAACATGTTACTGGGGATGGGTGTTGAGCTTTCAAAAGACCACACTGAGGCCCAGGATCTCTCTCCCGCTCCCTGTCGCCCACCCCCCACAGATCAGAATGTAACTAACTCCCAGTTATTGCTCCAGAGCCATGCTTCCCACTATGAAAGGACTAACCTCTGAAACTGTAAGGAAATCATTAAGCAGCACTCCTACATTGCCTCTGAATCAGCTCCTACTTTCAGATTCCTACTCTTTTAGAGTTCCTGTTTTAACTTGCCTCAATATGAACAGTGATATGGAAGCATAAACCAAATAGACCCTTTCCTCCCAATGTTGTTTATGTAGTATGAGAGCCAGCTTGTTGGGGGTTCTGTCTCGCCCGATCCCCCAGCTGTTTAGTCCCAGAGAAAATCACACAGAGAGTCTGCATTAATTATAGACTGATTGGCCCATTAGCTCAGGCTTCATATTAGCTCTTATAACTTATATTAACCCATTATTCTTATCTATGTTAGCTACATGGCTCTGTATCTTTCTCAGTGGTGCAGGTCACATCCTTCTTCTTTGGTGGTCTAGGCAGGACTGGAAGGAGTGGGCTTCATCCTTCCTAGAATATGCCTGTTCTCATTGCCTCGCCTCTACTACCTGTCTGGTAGACCCGCCTATACTTCCTGCCTGGCTAATCAGCGTTTATTCAAAATATGATTGACAGAATACAGACAATTCTCCCACACAGCTTTGGCCAAGTTATTTCATCACAGCTAACACATACACAGAGAGACATATGTGAGTATGTAATGCATAACCTGAAAGTTAATATCAGTAATTGGATTATTATAAAGAAAATTTTATATTCACCTTCATGAGGGTCACCAAAAAAGCAGTATTATCTAGCAAGTTATTGTCACTGAAACCATGATATATACCTTGTGAATTTGTTGCTAATAAGTTCTGATATTATCAAGAGACAGAAACACATTAATCTGTTTCTGATATAGTCCACTCATGACAGTGGTCTAATATTTTACATATTTTACAAAATGGTTTATGTAGACTTGAGAAGAAAAGAGATTCTTCTGTTATTTGATGGATCGTTTTATTTCTATCTGCTCCTTTCTTACTGAGTTTTTTTGATGAATAATCTATTGTTGATAGTGGAGTATTTAAGTCCTGTACTATTACAGCACTGCTGTCTATTTCAGCCTTCAGTTCTGTTAATATTTGCTTTACATGTTCATGTGCTCTGGTGTGAATATGTATTTATAATTGTCAGTCAATTGACCTTTTTACCATTATACAGCTATAGTGCATCTAGTTCCTCTGACCTTAACACGATCATCACCAACATGAAGTAGAATTAATTGTTGTAACCTATAGGAGACCGTGGCCTGCAGAAATAAGCAGAAAATAAAGTTCACAGCTAGGTCTGTAGTAATGGTGATGAGAATATTAGCATGTCTTTAGAAGGGTCACAAAACCCTTACCTGAGATTACAGGTGCTACTCCCTCCTGCCTCAACTACATACAGTCATGAGGGATACTAGGATTTAGAGGTGGCAGGAGATTGACTGGGAGGTAGAATACTTCAATAGTGTAGCTTTTCATGAGTTGTCCATGCTGAGGGTAGAACTTTTTGGTAATGAAGTTGCCTTTGAGACAATTATTCTTCTGCAAGTAATACTGATAAATTCATTGATTCATCAAGCTGGACTTGAATAGAATCTTTTCTTTGATCTGTCATTGATTGTCCTCTTTACCTGTGTGAATAGCTGTTTGTTTACTTTATCCAAGGAAAAGTTATACATCCATGACATTGCCTATTTTGATAGTTTTTCACTTAGTTTGTCTAATGGTCACCTTGATTTATTCCACTTGCCATTGTAGAGTTTCACAATAGCCTGGAATGGAGTTTAACAAAAGTTCATCTATTTGGGGATAAACTCACAGTAAGGGTAGTGATCCACAGTCCTCTGTGTACACTGGGAATTGGAACCAAATCCAGCAGAAAAAAAGAGGTCTCACATGCTTTTCGTCTGTACTTATAGTATATTAGATCATGCCCAAAGTGGGCTGGTATCTTAAAGGCTACTATTAACTGAAGGAGTTCCCACAATATGCCATTTTCGTGGAGTATTTTTCCCTTCATTTGCATTTATTATGTGTCTTTAAAGCTATATCTTGAGTTTTTTGTAGGTAGTTGCATATTGATTTATTTATTCGGTCACTTGGTTACTTTTTTATTAAAGTATATAACTAATTTTCTTTTAAAGCAAATTATTGATAGATAAGGAAAGGCACCTATTTTATTTTGTTTTTTGATTGATTTCTAGTTCATTTCCATTGCTGCTCACTTGTTTTCTTCCTTTGTAATTTGATGATCCTTTGGTAATAGTTATATCTAATAACTTTATCTTTGTATATTTACTACAGGTTATCTTTATGATTACTTCAAAGCTTACATAAAAGACCTTATAGTAATAATAATTTTGAAGCTGATGACATTTTAACTAAGGTAGTATAAAGGAAGAAAGGGGAACAATGAAAGAGGAAGTGTTACATAGGGTGGATAATGAGAAGGTAGGGTAGAGGAAAGAATGTAGGGAGGGATAATTGTCCTAGTTTGTGTCTCAATTGCTGTGATAGAATGCTGATCAAAAGCAACTAAGGAGAAAGAAAGGGTTTATTTGACTTACATTTCCATGCCACAGTCCAGCATTGAAGAAAGTCATGGGAAGAACTAAATGGGGACCTAAAGTAAGGAAAGCATAGACCACAGAGGAGTGCTGCCTACTGGCTCACTCTCTTGCTTATACTCCAGCCAGCTTTCCTATAAAACTAAGGACTACCTGCCCAGTGGTGGCACCACCCATAGTGGACTGGCCCCTTGACATCAACCATCAATGAAGACAATGCCCCCACAGCCATGCCCACAGGTCAGTCTAATAAAAGCCACTCCTCACCTGAGATGCCTTCTTCACAGCTGTCTCTAGTTTGTCAGGTTGATAAAAACTAACCAACATAATAACACTAAAAACCTTTGAAAAAGTTATGTAGAAACCTACTACTGTAGAAGTTTCTTAAAATATATACATATAAAAAAGAAGTTTAAATGGCATTACCATATTACTTGGGGGCAATGCCTCTTACAGATACCACAGGATATTAAATAAAAAGCCCACAGTGTCAGGTATGGGCTGCTTCTTTTTGAGTTGTTGACCAATGGATTCCCATAGATGTCCCTCAAATATAAACAGGCTATTACCATTGCTCTTGGTTACCTTTCAGAACTTGTTGGTAAGACCCTATTGCTGAAGATACCACATGCTTGAGTCAAAGAACACGAAGAAATCAAGCTGGTACTAACCTGGAAACTTCATCCCTATTGGCTAGCTTTCATAGTACTTGAATGTTCTAGGTACACTCCCAAGTGTGAAAAGTCATTGACAGTCTTACTCAAACATAAACTTTGCAAGCTACAATAATCACTGACATGGCAAGCTATACCCTGTGGTGCAATAGTGACACAAATATTAAAAATAATACTGTTGACTGGGTTTAAGGTCTGCTACACAATTAGGAATTCATATCCAGTATTGTTAATGGCACCAAAAATCAGAGGTTAGCTAGGTCATAGGCCCTAGAGGAAAAACTAACAGTATTATTCTGCTAAATAAACATAATAATAAACTGCATCCCAAGATCTTATCTTTATACACATAGACTCCACTGGACAACATCTAGAGCATAAGATAGTGCAGGCTGTTCAGTTTTAAATAGGACATCTATTTTATACATTCTGTACCCGAGGCTTGGGGATCATCATAGAGAGAAGGGCAAAAGGATTCTAAGGACCAGAGATAGAGATAGAGATTGACCACTAAGAAAAGTGTTTTCTAGACATGGCAGGGCCATTGTACCCATGAACTCACAGCAGCTGTGATTGTGTACATAAGACTTGCACAAGATTAAGCTGCCAAAATCCCAGCATAGATGGGAAATGGATTAATGAAATCTCATATCTAGCTTAGGAGCTGTTAGCAACTGATGGCAGCAGGAAAAGGAGAGTTATTTTTTCTTCAGGGATGTAGTTCCTGAGAAATTACCTATGCTTCAATAGATGGTCTTATACTCATGAACAAATAGGCAGCACTAAGTGGATTCAGTGGATCACTATACTCTAAGGGGATCTGAGCTGGCTTGTTCGAATCTTCAGAAACACTGGTGTGTAATCTACTTCAGAAATGTATGGCAACTTCTATATCTTTACATTTTTTGGCAATACTTTCTACTGTCTTACCTTTAGAAATATTTTCACAGGTGAGACAGTATCTCAAAGTAGTTACAATTTGCATTTTGATGGCCTTATGTAGTAAATATCTTTTCCTTATAGTCCATTTGTGCATTTTCTTTGGATAAATGCTTAATCCTTTGCTTGTTTTTTGCTTAGTTTTGTTTTGAGACAGGGTGTCATTATGTAGACTTAGCTGGCTTGGAACTCACTAGACAAACCAGACTATCCTTGAATCTACGAAAGTAAGTCTGCCTCTGTCTCCTGAGTGCTGGAATTAAATGCATGCCCTACCACAGCTGGCAAAAGATTTATTTGTTTTTATAATTATGTGTACATGTGAGGTTTGTGTGTGTACATGTAGCACCAGTGAAGGCCTGAGAGTATATCAGTCAGTTCTCTCGATCACAGGCAGAGGAGGTGCTAGGAACTGAGCATAGGTCCTCTGCAGGGTAATCTCTATCCTTAACAGTTGAACCATCTCTTCAACCTCTCCTTTGCCTGTTTTAAAATTATTTGTCTTTTCATTGCAGAAACTCATATATTATGGAAACATCTTTACAAATTCTATGCTTTAGATTTTTTTCTATTTGTGTTATCTTCTATGTGTTCTTTGAAAAGCAAATGTTTTAAAATTTTTGAACCCCCCCAATACCATTTTTATTTGGTTCTTATTAAGAACACAGATTTAGCTCATGTCCTATAACTTAACTAACATTCAAAATAAGGTTAAGGCAACACTTTTACTTTGAATAAAGTGGAGTGCTAACATCAGCAGCACCATACTTGGTGAAGACTTCTTGCCTGACAAGTTTAAAGATGGATTTCTGTAGTTGAATCGTGTCCCATAAATGATATGCTGATCCTGATAATGCCTATTCCTGTCAATGTGGCATCATTTGGAAATAGGATAATTGCAGATGAAATCAAGTTAAAATTTGGGTCTTTAGAATGGATCCTAATCCAACATAACTGGTATCACTATATAAAGAGAAAACATTGAATATAAATACATACAGAACAATACATAAAAACAGACAGAGAAAGTAGTTATGTAGATAGACAGAAATTAGAGTTGTGTTCTACAAACTTAGAAAGACCTGGAGCTTCTAGAAGCTGGAAGAGGCAAGAAAGTTTTCTTCCCTAAAGACATCAGAAGGAGTAGGGCCCTGCAGCACCTGATTTTGGACCTCTAGACTCAGAACAGAACTCCAACAATTTCTCTTATTTGAAAACACTCTGTGGTAGTCCTTTCAGCAACCTTAGTAAGCTCATTAATAAAAACTGTGATTTTTAAGACCTGTTCTTACTCAGAGTTCTCTAGGCTTCTCTTCTAGCAAGATCCATTCTGGATTTCAGAAGTCTGTGTGCTTAGTCTGCACCATACCATCCAGTGAGTGTTTTACTTTCTATGTATGTTGCCATATTTAGGAACATTCCCAAAGGCTCATAGTTTAAAGGCTTAATCTCCCAGGCTATGATCTTATTGGACTGTTGTAGAATCTTTAAGAGGTGGACCTTAAGGGACAAAGTTAGGTCACCAGCTATATGCCTTTGGAGAAGATACTGAGATCTTAGCCTCAAAGCCTTTCCTTTCTTCATGTCCCTGCTGTAATGGACCATGCCACCTTAGATCAAACCACGAGAGTTAAGTGAACATGAACTGAACTGAGATTTCTATAACTATGAATTAAAAGATACCTTTATTCCTTTTAACTATCTCAATTATCTTATTATAGTAATGGAAAGCTAATGTGTGCTGTCTTAATTATTCAGCAGGGATAACATATCTTTTTCACCTAGTCATGTTATATTTTTGTATATTTCAATCAAGAACTAAACACTTACATTCAAGCCTTTTAAGGCAAGGCAACATTCTGATGGTGTGGACTTGCTGTAGAGCACTTGCCTAGCATGATTAAAGCCTTGAGTTCAACCTCTAGCACAAAACAAATCAAAACACAACCAAAACACAAATCAGGAAGTAACAAATTAGATGTCTTTACTGAGTCCTGGATAGAAGGTGGTACTGCTGTTGCCAACTCACCCTGTATTACAAGTATAATTAATACTGGATCCAAACTGAGTGTCTGTGAGTACACGAACTATGCCATTCTGAGGATCTTTAGGAGTTGCACATGATTTACCTGTGAGAAAGAAACAGAATTTTGGAACCAAGTAAAGTAGAACTTAGTTTATGAAATTCTAACCTGACTGTAACTTATTGTATACAGAGCATACAAAATTGCAACATTTCACAGATTTTTGTTACTTTGAGGAAACTCATCAGACACTTCTTTCCAAAAGAACTCCCATCCAAGTTTTCTCTTATTTTCACATAGTGACTTCCAAAACCATGAATACTTCATTTATTACCAAGGCATTCTTTTCATCTCTTGGTTATTAAATACGCATTTTTTTTTTTTGCTTTGGAATCACTAGTTACTTAGTGACACTTGTGCGAAGTTGGATACACTAAGTGAAATATCCTGAGGGTATTTTCATCAATAATGCTCTGTGATGGTCATTATTACTAAATTTATCAACAATTGAGAGGCCAGAAGAACAGAGTAAAGATATGGCTTACAAGAAAAAGTCAATGTACTATATTATATGCCTTAGATAATATTATTAATGACATGTGCCATAATTTTAAAATACAGACAAATTTGAACAGACTCTACTATTTGCCACAAAGTATCTACTCTCTGACACATTTCTCTGCAGTTAGTCATGTATACACTTATTTTCAGCACTTGTCTGGTGAGGAAGAATTGTCTGTATACTGTCAATCATGTTTTAAATAAACACTGATTGGCCAGGCAGGAAGTATAGGCAGGAAAACCAGACAAGAAGTAGAAATGATGCAAGGAGAACAGGAGAATTCTGGGAAGGAGGAAGTTGATTTCCCCCCACTCCTGTCCAGACCACCGAAGCAGCAGGATGTGATCTGCCCCAGGGAAAAAGGTACTTAGTCATATGGCTAACATAGATCAGAATAATGGGTTAATATAAGGTACAAGAGCTAATAAGTAGCCTGAGCTCATGGGTCAATCAGCTTTATAACTTCTGGAGACCTCTGTGTGATTTTCTTTGGGGCTAAACAGCTGTGGGGTTCCAGGTGGGACAGAAAACTTCAACAAGCAGGAGCTCCTCGTGTTATACTTGTCCAGTCTGAGATTTGTTCACATACAATGGAGAACTGCCTCTTGATATATCTTGGGCAACATTCATACATAAAAGATGTTCCCATTGGAAACTCGGATTCATCAGTTTGAGTTATATGATTGGCAAATGGAAACTATGATGGGGCTTTGCACTGGCCTGGAGAATGAGACCACAGCAACATTACACTTAATGGAGGAACATTTATTTCACCTTTTCTTTCTCTCCAATATACTTCATAGATGTGATCAAAGAAGAAAAAGAATACTCTAATAGTAGCAAAAGGAATTATTCTTTTAATATTTTTTTAAAAGATTTATGTATTTATTATGTACACAGTGTTCTGTCTACATGTATGCCTGCAGGACAGAAGAGGGCAACAGACCTCATTACAGATGGCAGTGCACCACCATGTGGTTACTGGAAATTGACCTCAGGACCTTTGGAAGAATAGGCAGTACCCTTAAACTCTAAGCTATCTCTCCAGTACATTTAATGGGTATTTTTATAGTAACTTTTTAAAATAATTTTAGTTATCATCTATAAGTAAGTCTCTGCTTTAAAATGCCTCTGCTTTAATAATTTTTAAAGATTTATCCATCTTATTCTGTGATTCTTGTGCTGAAATGCATATATGTGCACCCAATGCATGCAGTGCCTTTGGAGATCAGAAGACAATATTGGATCCCCTAGAACTGGAGTTATGGATACCTCTGCTCTTTTTTTTAAAGCAATGTGTATGTAGCATAATTCACATGTAACACATTAATATAATGTAGGTAGGACAAATAGTCTTTCGCTGAAGGGAAACTCCAACATAGTTTCAAAGTTCAACCAGTCAGAGAGTACCTGTGTTTAGATTTCATCCATCCCATCCTCACTTTTGATTCTCTCCTGTACCAAAACAGACTCAGGCATTGCATCCTTCCTCTCAGTCTCAGTCAACCAACCAGCTCTCCTGGCCCACGATCTTCCTCTCTGGGATTCAGAAAGGGATCAACACTTTGGCCAAGGGAGGAGAGAAGAATAATAAAATTGAAAAATAGTAACTGTGTTTCATTTTGTGAATGTATTTTTCAATACATTACATGTTTTTATTTAACTTCTAGCCTCAGTTATCTTCCCATAAGGCTTAGCAGAGTTAAATTAATTGACAATTAGGGTGAAATAACAAGCAATCAATAATTATCTGTTGGAAAAAAATCATTTTAACTTTGGAAATATTACATTTTTGCTATGACTTCATTTTCTTCCAAAACTCTCAATTAATTAATTCACATTTTAAGGGGGGGGTATATTAAGGCATACAAAAAATTTTCAACACTGTATTTTTAGTTAGTTTTTAAACAGACTGCATCTTGTTTTGCATATGGTCAGCTTTGGTAACTCCAAAATGGATGCTAGCTTAAATTCATTTTATATACTTTCTGATTTTGATGGGTCTGCTTGTTCTACTAGATGCTAAAGAGTCATGTTCAAATATTCTATTTTATTATATACTTGTTTATTTCTTTTCATTATGCCCACCTTTTTATATACTGTATTATTAGAGCATGCAAATTTAAATTGCTATATTTTATAAAAGATTAACTTTTATCATAGTAAAATATCTCTAATTTTCACAACAAATCTTGCTTCATGTTATATTTTTATTTGTGAAATAAAACTAAATAGGATAGCATATTTAATATCCAGTATTTCAATTGTTTTATTTGATTTGTGTGCGTGTGTGTGTGTGTGTGTGTGTGTGTGCGCGCGCACACACACACACATGCGCATGTATGTGGTATGTCTGTGCTTGGTTTGTATGCAAATATGCAGGTTTTACATTGTATGATTGCAGTTGCATATGCATGTGTGTGTGCACATGGAAACCTTAGGTGATGTTGAAAATCATCCTCTATCAACTCTTGCAATTTTCTCATTGAGGCAGGGTCTTTCAGTGAAACCCAGACCTTGCTGATATGGCCAATCTTGCTGGCCAATTACCCTGGGATCCCTTGTCTGTACCTTCAGAGGCTGGAATTACAGCTGGGCTGAAACATTCACCCAGAATCAACATAAGTTTCTGGGGATTTGAATATCAGTTCTCATCCTTGTACAACAAGAACTTTATCTGCTGAACTATCTCCCCTACCCTGTATCAATACTTTTAAATATAAACACATAATACTTATTTAAAGACATACTATCATAATGCCATTTCCAAGCAAGCTTTACATTGGTTTGTTTTGACATGGTGTTTTTTATCCTTTCATATTCACCTGCCATTATTAATTTTGAATGTGTTACTCTATTACTTTTGCGTCATTATAACAGATGTTTCAAACTTTGGTTAAAATGTTTTTAGAGTATCAGCATATTTTAATGGCATTCTATGTATAAAAGAATATATAATAGTTCCATTTATTAAATAAGTATATTCAAACAGTATAGGTCTCTTGTCTATATCATAATTATGCAAAGAAATTTGAGGCCTTATACAACTTCTCAAACTTTGGAATTAGACTGAAAACACCCATTTCATTTCCTGTTCCACATCCATTTTCATGTGATACTCTTTCCCTAGCAACTGCGGAAATCTAAATTTACAAAGCTCTGGTCTAATATAATCTATCTCTGGAGCCAGATGCTACTCTGAACTGGTAGCTTGAACTGTAGAGTACCTGGAAGATATGAATAGCTGTTGTTTTCACTGAAATTTTAAAATCTTCCTTTGCTGGTTAAGTCTTTGCCAACTTGACACAAACTAGAGTTATTTGGGAAAAGGGAACCTCAACTGAGAAACTGCCTTTATAAGAATTGCCTGTGTACATGTCTGTGGAGGCATTTTCCTGATTAATGGTTGACTTAGGAGGGCCTTGCCCACTGTGTTTGATGCCATTCCTGGGCAGGTGGGCTTGAGTTGTAGGGGAACAAGCTAGTAAGTAGCATTTTTTTGTGGTCTCTGCTTCCAGGTTCTTGAGTTTCTGCCTTGGCATCCTTCCCTAGGTGATGAACTATAACTTGCGAGCCAAATAAACCTATCTCCTCCCTCCATCCCCCCATGATGCTTTTGGTCACTGTTTATCATAGCAACAGAAAGCAAACTTAATACTTTCAAAGTTCTCCTGTGAGTCTGCCATGGCTCTCATGCTCCCTTATCCCATAGCTTCAGACATTTGGTCATGTGACAATTTCAGTCTTTAAAAAGGAATTGACTATTAATATTTAATAAGATTAAGACTAAATCAACCATCTTACTGTTTTTGTCTTTTGTGATTTTGTGCTTTCATTTTGTTTTGATTAGTGATTATATTTATTACTATTACTTACTTTTATTGTACTTTTGTTTTTGTTTCAAAAATAACATGATCTCAACATATAAACATCTACTAACAACAATATAATTTCCCCAACAAGAATTATAGAAAATGCTAATTTCCCACCTTTGTCCTATTACTATCAAACATTTAAATACAACATGTACTTTAAATCACTGCTAATCATATTCAGTACAGACACTGTATGCTGTTTGTTGAATGCCAGTTACTTGCTACTAGACTGGATGCTAATGGCAATGGACTCCCTCGTGTAGTTAAATTCAACAAAGTCCACCTAGAAAGGCATAATAGGCTAAATGCTATGGTTTGTCTATAAATATCCATTACTGTCACTCTTGCTTTCCAGCTGTGGGAGCTGTTTTTGGAGGTGGTAGGTTGGGACACAGGGCCAGTCTGACAGTGTGGGACAGTAAGGGCATGACTTTCAATGACATATCCACTTAGGGGTCAAGCCAGTGTTCTCTATTTCTTGTTCTGTTACTAAGCAAGAAGCCAGGTAGTCTTCCAGCTGCTCCATTTGCCATGCCTTTTCAATCAGCATGGACTGAACCCTCTGAAAACATGAGCCAAAATTCTCAAAAAAGCTGATTCCCCTTTACATTGTTTATGTTAGCTATGTTGTCATAATGACTAGAAAAGTAATGCACTAAGTAACTACT